GAATCAAGATTAAGTGGTCACAGAAGCTTAGCATATGTCAAAATGCAGTGTTTAGGTGCGTGATTCTTTAAAATATGTCGTGTGATTTAGACAAAATTTCTGGAAACATCAAAAAGGAAGAAAAAAAGGAAGATATTTGCAATATACCTTTAAGTGACTATGTAAAAAGACTAGAGCCACATGTTAAAGATATTTAGAAAAAATATCACTCGTGGGGATCGATCCCACTACATTGATCACTGCAAAGTTGGATCCACAATGTTTACCAAACATAGAGGCGACAGATCTTCTGTGCTATTTGGTTATCAATATGAGTTATTATACAAAGAAACAGTTCAAAGCTTTCAAAAGCTTGGAGGTCTACAACCAGATGTTTTTGGGTTTTATTTCCAACGTTCAAGGCAAAGTAATAGGTGAAAAATTTCTGGTGATCCGAAAGGTGAGACATTCTTAACGAATGAATAAGCGGCCAATTGCAGTTTGGATTATTACGAATAAGGAGGGAACCGTGTTATCAGCTCACTGCCTTGGTTGTAAAGCTGGACTAGCAGAGACTTGTTCACATATTGTAAGTATTTTATTTCGTATCGAAGATGCAACAAGAATAAATGAAACACTGGTATGTACACAAGTAAAGTGCATGTGGTTGTCACCAACATATGTGAGTGAGGTTCCTTATGGTAGGGTCAAGGTCTTGAGGTTCTGCTACATTGATCAATGCAAAGTTAGATCCACAATGTTTAACACCCATAGAGGCTACAGATCTTCTGTGCTATTTGGTTGTTGATATGAGTTATTATACAAAGAAACAGTTCAAAGTTTTCAAAAGCTTGGAGGCCTACAGCAGGATGGTTTTGGGTTTTATTTCCAATGTTCAAGGCAAAGTCATGGGTGAAAAATTTGTGGTGATCAGAAAGGTGAGACATTCTTAACGAGTGAATGAGCGATCAATTGCAGTTTGGATTATTACTAATAAGGAGGGAACTGTGCTATCAGCCCACTGCCTTGGTTGTAAAGCTGGACTAGCTGAGACTTGTTCATATATTGTAAGTATTTTATTTCATATTGAAGATTCAACGAGAATTAATGAAACGCTGGTATGTATGCAAGTAAAGTGCACATAGTTGTTACCAACATATGTGAGTGAGGTTCCTTATGCTAGGGTCAAAGATATCAACTTCAAGTTGGTGAAAAAGTTGAAAGATAAGATGCCTGTATTGAGGGACTATCAGTATACTCTCCACCTTCTTTATCAGCACCTGACACTACAAAGAGAGCAAATATCTCAACAGAACACGTTACATCTGGAGAACTGAGCTGAAATATTTGCTTGTCAAACTAAATGAGTGCAAGTTCAAATCTGTTGCTTTAAGTTTGATTGAACCCTATTCTGAACAGTTTATCATGAAAAGTAGAAGCATCCCAACCATTTCTGACCTTTTTGATCCATCTAATTTTGACTTGTCCCATCCAGAACTCCAAGAAAAGTGTGAAAATATTGATTTGACAATTTCAGAATCACAGGTAGAATTAATTGAGCAAGATACCAGGGAACAGGCAAAAGGAAATGCATTTTTCAAGCACAGAGCTGGGCACATTGGTGCATCTCTTAGTTGGGCAGTAGCTCATACTAACCCTGCTATGCCATCACAATCCTTAATCAAGTCCATATCATATCCTGATCTGTTCAAAGTTACTACTAAAGCAATCAGTCATGGCCACAAGAATGAGAGTGCTGCCTTAAAAAGAGTATCATTTTCCTTCAAAGTTCTGTAATTGTTTCAGTACAACCTTTCTTTTTAAGGATTTTCTTTATAACTCTTTGTATTGCATGAAAAGGGTCCAGTTTTATAGTTACATCAGGAAATATCCTTTACAGTTTACACACTAGGCACAGAATTATCTGAAAGGAAAATTGTTGGCTTTTGTCCCTGTTTATCTAGCCTGTTTTATGCAAAACATTTTCAATTGACGAAAACTTGGTTCTTTTACACAGCTTCAAGCCCAACACATTTCCCTTCTCATAAAGGACAATAAATGATGTATCATACAGCTTCACCCATCTCTTATTTAATCAAAATCCAATACTTGCAGACAGTTTGAACATATGATTGCAACTTAACCACTTTCTGGCAGCCATTTGACACATTCTCTTTGTATATAAATGCTCCCTCTCAAAGAAGTGCCTGGCTATGCAAGAGGTTATGATCTTCTCGCCTGGTTGTTGAAATCTTTGGTCAAACTCTGGAAAAGAAAGACAAATGTTTGAATTTTTGTTCCATGCAGAGATTTAAGCTTCCCTGTGTGTACCTTTGGTTACATACATTGTCTGTGGCCAGAGAGTTTGAATTTCACTAATTGTTAACCCAGCAATTGCATGAGAGATTATAAGCTATACAGTTCTCTCATCACTTCAGCCTTGTGAAATGAGACAAATGGAATGGGAAAAACGCCCTAAAACTTGTGACAAAATGGAAGGATCATGGGCAATTTGGTGTCTCCGGTCACAAATGTATACTCCACTAACTGACAAGACTCTATTTGTTAAACCATAAAGGCATAGTTAATCACATTTTGTTCTGCTGTCCTTTCATCTTGTAGCTCTAAGTGACTGATTCATTCCAGAACATTCAAGGCAATTGGGACAACTTGAGGTCAAATTCGAAAAAAACACTTAATGGATCCCAAAGCATGACATCATGCACCACATAATCTTCAGGATTACTGGATGTTGGCCTTATTTGACCACCCCTGATAACCACACCATGTTGCAATCATATTGTATTTGCATTTGATTCAGATGAATGAATGCTCAAAACAAGCTGTATAAATCTGTTACTTGCTTCCAAAATTGGCATGTTGTAGGTGTAGGAACAGCCCAAGATGTTCAAAACCACTAAGACACGCAACTTTGATTAAACACTTCATTTCACATGAAAACATTGAGAGCTTTAAAATTTGGGAATGCATTGGTTATCCATTGGTATAAAGTTGGAAAATCAATGGGAAATCAATAAAAGTTACTTTATTTTTTTCACTTGGAAAGTGTATCTCTTTATCCACTGTTGGGGCTTTTATTGGAATTACGGTCACTTCACCCCATGGTCATTTTGCCCCCAGTCACTTTGTTCCAACCAATTGTCAGTTCGCTCCATAATCAAAGTCACTTCGCTCCATGCAAAAGTTACTTTGCTCCATGTTACAAGTCAAGTGTATATGTGCTTACAAGATTGTATGATTGTATGACAACATGTTTGTAATTGTTCATTTCGCTTATCCTAATCTCTCTCTGTCCCCCACACCATGCTGATGCTGTTGATGCACACAAAATGCACTTAAATTTCAAGAAGTGTATATATGCTTTCAAGATTGTATGTTACGTCATCTGATTTATAAATACGATCTTGATACGCTCAAAATGTGCTCAAATTTCAAGAAGTGTATATATGCTTATAAGATTGTATGTTATAGTTGTCCGATTTATAAATACAATTTTGATGCCATGCTGATGTTGATGTGCTCTAAATGCACTCATATTTCATGAAGGGTATATATGCTTAAAAGATTGTGTCATTAGCAAAAACGAAAAACAAACGGCTCCTTTAGGAGCCACCAAATGAAATAAAAGCAATGATCAACAATGCAATACATGCCAATACATAGAATACACAGATAAAGCTAAACAATTCTTTTAATAAAAATATAAAATCCTAGAAAAAGCCAAAGAATTTATGCAAACGTTAGTTTGTCTTTATTCAAACTTGTAAACCAACTACTTCAAATGATTAAAAATGGTGACGCTTACCTGCCTGCATTACTTGCATAAAGCTCCCTTGTCCCATTTCAGTTATGCATTGTCATGGCACGTTTTCAACCATTCACATATGGTAAAAGTGAAACAACATTACCAATCACACCCGTGAAATTGTATTGAAATGTTGGAAGCAAAACTATAAGAATTAACCAGGACACCCCTTGAAGTATTTCTTTTATGCAATAACGGGGGTTTTGTGGGATTACAACGTATAAGAATTTGTATTGAGGAGAGTAATCAAACAAAATGATATTTTTTTTGTCACCAAGTGTGAGCAAATGTGACTGGCTGCATTAGTTGATAAATCTGAACTGACATAAGTTCAAAATCAGTCCAACTCCAGCATCAAAACAAAAAGTTCACGATAATGTTTCACTAATTTCTCACATGGAGCGAAGTAACTTTTGTATGGAGTGAAGTGACTTTGATTATGGAGCGAAGTGACTGGGGGCAAAATGAACATGAGGCGAAATGACCGTAATTCCAATAAAAGCCCAAACAGTGGATGAAGAGATACACTTTCCAACCTTGGAAAGTGAAAAAATAAATATCCAAAGTTAGAATGTCATATTTGTTCTACATGTACCAATATTGATAACCCATGTAAAGTCCAACATAGGAAACATACAATTCCAAGTTGAAAGGTCACACTACCAAGCTTGGCAATCTTTGTAAAAGTCAGACATGGGAACCATACTAATCCAAGATTGGAAGGTTACATTAGATGGTAACCAAGTTTGATAATCTATGTAAAGGTCGAAACAGGAACATATTGAAGACTCGTGTTATTCATACTCATTTGTAATTTGATTTATTAGAGTCAATATAATAATCATTTGAGTGTACAAATTCATATACAGCAACTATTTATACAAACAAAGATCAAATTGAACAAGTTAAGACGTAAAAAATGTGATGTACATGTAGTACTAGTACTGTTCATCTTCAGACAGACTTGACAGTAGGGATGAATCAGTGGCATCAAGTGATTCAGTGGAGCCTGAGTCTGGTGACAATCATCACTCAGCCTTAAACTGTTCCCAAAGATCATAAATATTACAATTTTCTCCCTTTCTAGATGTCTGTAGTTGACTGGAGATTGAATTTCAACTACTGTCGACTATTACTGTCAACTTCACTTGATCACAATGAAGCAACTTAGGCAGATAACAACATTGCAAAGTCCTTATTTAACTGAAACAAAGTCCTGTAGATACTGTGGTACTCTTGAGACTTGTCTATTCCTGGTCACAACTGCTGCTAGCTTGTTTGGACTTGGTGGTGGCTCCTGCTCTGGGGGAACTATTGTAGGTTCTGTTTGCTTTGTTTGACCAACAAAGTTCTCCTGGGCTGGTTGACCTATGGCATGAGGCCTTGGTGGTTTAGCTTAGCAGGAGGTGTGTTTGGCTTGTTAACCTGAGATGGAACAACTGAACTGGCACTAGCAGTCTGACTAAATGGTTCCTTAGATGTGTGGAGGTGTGGGCAGTTTCTTCACAACACCTTACCCTCACCTGCCCTAACTTCATAAGAACGGATGTCAACTTGGTCTTCCATTTGTGCTTTAAACCATTTCTGTTGCTTGTCACCTTGTTTAGGGGCTACTTGGATGACTTCACCTGTCTGTAAAGGCAGAAGTTCTTTGGTGTTTTGGTTGTAAAACTTGGTATGTTTGGACTCCTGCTTGAGAAGTTTCTCCTTCACATTCTCTTGGATCATTGGCTTTAACAACTGACTGGTGGTGGGAAGTAGTGTTCTCGTTCTGGGTGTAAATGCGTGACTTTCAAACTTGCGTGACATTTGCGTTACAGTTGGCCTTTGTGCCATTTGATTCCTTTAAATAGTTTTTCTCTCCCGCTTTCATTAATCGCCTGTTCATCCAAAGTTAATTTATAAAGTGTGATTTCAAGCCACCGGCCTATAGGGACTGATATGTAAGTTGTTTTCGCTTGTTTTGTTGTTTATCTCGTTTCGAGCAAGCTCTTTCGTCTTTATTTGTATATATATTTTGTGTTTGCCGTAGCATTTGGTTCATTTATTAGTTCCTTTATTATGTTAGATTCATTTACGCTGTTAAGTCGCCACATGTTTAATTGAATACAATCTATTATATAAGTCCCTTTTTTAATTCGCTTACAGTTTATGAGATTGATTAAAGTTATGTCCCTGTAATATATCCCTTGGATTTGGTTGGCATTTTTCTTCGGTCACGATTTTCTTGGTATTTCATCGAGCCTTGATGTTCGTTTGCCGCAACACTGGGTCAAAACATCGAGCAGAGGAACTGGACATACCTTCAGATGGGGTATTCCTCCAAAATGCCTAAAGAGTATTAGATGTTTAATTTTAAATGTCAAGCGATTTTAAAAATTACCGTAAACTCGCAAGCTTTTCGACACTTTCAAAACATTTCTGACCTTATCTATTGAGACCGTGCCAGTAGTACTCTCCAAATTCTCTGGAAATACCTTATTCAAACCTAATGAAAGTGCTCGATGGTTTTTCTACAAATTCCGAGCGATTCAAAATTTATGATGCCTTTTTAGTGGACAAATTTTCCCGAGCTTGTGCATATTATAAAATCGTAGGAGTAGTCACAAGCTCAGAAAATTGGTCCACTAAAAACTTAAATAATTTCTGAAATCGCTTGACATTTCTGAACAAACATCTGTTATTCTTAGAATTTTGAAAGATCTTTCCAGGGGTAGTTTGTGAAGAAATTTAATTGCCAGACATGGAGTATTTTAGAAACCCTGTTCGGCTGCTGGATGTAGAGACACTCAAATGAATTGAAACAAAATAGATCAAAATTCCAGTATTTATATAGTGGATTAACGGACTCATAAAAATTGCAAAGAATCAAAAACTCTTCACCATCTAGGGAATCATCGGCGTAAGCCACTACTAACGCGTTTCTGACATCTTCAAAGACAAGTTAACCACCATCTTCAGTCTGTTGGCGAAATCTTAAAGGACAACAAGGGTTAAACTTTCGCGCCCTTAAACGGTACTCAACCCAGTCTACCGAAGACACATCCAACCATCATAGCTAATCGTAGTCCCTATGAATGATGTGAGCGAGGAATCAAAATTGGAGATTGTGAAAACTCACATTTGTCATTAAGGGTCAACCCAGCTTCTTGTAGGCGGTGAAGAACCGCTCATGCGTGTTCATCATGTTCTGACCGGTCCACTCCATGAATGAGGACATCATCCATCTGACAGGGTGTCCCTTCCAAGCCCTCAAGTATCTAGGACATAGTGCGTTGGAAGATCTCTGGGGCGGAGCTGATACCAAACGGTAGTCTGTTAAAACAAAAATGCCCAAATGGTGTGAGAAAAGGTGGGGGCAATTTTGATTTGTCATCCAAGGGAATCTGCCAAAACCCACTGTTGGTGTCTAGTTTGGGGAAGATCTTGCTGTCTCCGAGTTCATTCACTGAAGGCATTGGGTGTATCTCAAGCTGGACTGCTTTGTTAAAGTGAGTCAGGTCAACACAGATACGCACACTGCCATTTGGTTTAAGGACAGGGACGATACCTGCACACCATTCAGTTGGAGCTGTTACAGGCGAGATCACTCCTTGCTGAAGCATTGTTTCTATCTGACTTTTTACATTTGGAATCAGTGGATGGGGAATCTTTCTTGGATTGTAGAGACAGAAAGGCTTAGAATCAGGGCAAAC